ACCCAATGAAATGACAGCCTTAAGGCGTCGGAGCAGGTCCTCCCCCAACAGGAAAGGAAAAGCTTCGACGTCAGCTGGACACTGGATGGCTCACGGACATGTCACCCACTGAGAAGTTTAGGAACACCACATTCGACAAGATCATTTGGCCTGAGGAGTAAGGACAGATCTTCACGGCGCAGGGCGTGAGCTTTAAGACACGACCCTGTACAGCCGCAGCCAAGCGGACATGCTCCCATAGAGAACTGGACATGATGGTGAAGTCTGAACCAGAGTCCAAAATACCCTCACAGTCAAGCGCCCCCTCCAGGGTCACCGAAATGTGAGGTTTCTCATTAGGACCCTGACCCTTACGGTCGATATAGCGGAGAAACCGTAGCGGAAGTCCGACCGGTGAGCCAGGCTGGCAGGTGAGCCAGGCTGGCAGGTGTTTTGGATGCTAGAGGACCAGTGCTGACGGAAGCGACCACGCCAGATCTCGCTGAGGTCACAGGTGTCATTGGACGCGCCATTGTGGCGTGCTTCGCCTCTGCACAACCTGCTTCTACAACCATGTCACGTGCAGGTTCAGGAGGTGGAGGAGGGTCTGCCAAAGAGATGGACAGAACCGACTCAAGTGCCGATGGATCTTCCATCAGGGCACGAAGTGCAGAACTCAGTGCGGCGCGAACTGCTCCAGGAGACACATCCCTAGAATCAGATCTCGGCCTTGGGGCAGGACTGGAAGCACTGTCAGCTGCATGATTTATGAAATCTTGAAACAAAAACTTCCACCAACCACATCTTTTATAGTACACTAATGATTTTCTCCAATTCAGTAGGTTACTTTGTCAGCTTCAAGGTAATGCCTTCGGTTTTTCTGTAAGTATTACGGGTTTGGTGCTATGACCCTCAGAAGGAGGACTGTGCCAGCTTTCCTCCATTTAACCCCCTAATAAAGAAGGCTCCTGTGGCCGACAGACAGCTGAAATGTTCTCCTCATATCTTCTAGAACTTTCATGGTAGGCACACAAGACTTCGTACAGATGACCACCAAGGCCTTCTGCCGCTCATCCTTTTTTAATTTTTTGAATTGGTGCAGTACTTTTCAAATGGTGACGATAAGTTTGACAGGTCCAATTTCACTTCTGAAGGACAGATTTAAAGGATTCTCTCATTAACAGGAGTACAGCTGCAGGCCTCCAACAGCCAGGGGAAAAGGCGGGAAAACAGTGCCGCTCTCTGATTAGCTCATTGTAATGAATAGTCTCATTTAAATGAATATGAAAAGCCTAATATTGAGCCTATGACATACTGCTGTTTCTGATCTTTCTGAGCTCTCTGCACTTAAAACTAGCAGCATAGCTGACATTTTAACAGCCGTCAGAAGGCAGGAACTGCCCCCTCCTCCTTTGCTGCTCTCTGATTGGCTGAGAGTTTTCAATCGTCTTCTGCCTAAAACAGGGTGACCATATTTCCATTTCTAAAAAAAGAAGACAGGAGATCTGTGCCACCGATGACGTCAGACTAGGGCTGGGCGATATGGCCTAAAATCAATGTCACAATATATTGAGGATTAAACCTCGATAACGATAAATGGACGATAACTACAGGTATGCGCAGAAACAAAAGCTGCCACTAGATGGCGCTGTCGCATGTATTATGTTGAGTCACATTTTTACGTCAGGAACGATTAAAAGACAGAGTACCAGAGGATATATACAGATATGAACGATCATGTGTTAATAATAATGTTTTGTTGCGCCACCTTGAGAATGTATCGTGCGCCGGACGCAGCGGGCGCACCAACGATCAGCGCTGCGTCCTCTCCGCTCAACAGAATCCCGCTACGCTGAGAGTCCATAAATATTGTAACATAGTCAGAGACTGGATCTTTCCCTGAAAGATATCTGGTCCCCCATAATTCGATCCCTGCTCCTGGATGAAAATCTGGACATTTTGATCAATATAGGAAAAACCCCCACCCCGGACAGAGAGTGCAAAGTGGACATGTCCGGGGGAAAGAGGATGTATGGTCATTCTACCTAAGAGGAAATAAGCACCCACACATATGATACAAACCTGCTTGGTCTCAGGAGTCTTGTATTAACTAGAATTTGTGTTCTGCGTTACCATGGCAACTTGCTTAGCAACAACATTTAATAACTTTTTAAAGAGCAAGTCACCCCCAAATAAACTTTTTTTTTGCTGATAAACTAAATAAACGAGTGTCTGATCGTACTGCAGACACATGTCGTCAATAATTTGGCATTTCAGTGCATCTTAGTTAAAATTTAAATATTCTGCCTAAAACTGGCAGTGTTGTGCCGTTGTCAGGTAAAAACTCTGCACTGTATTTTAATTCAAATCTGCCACCGCTATTGGCTAAGAGGTATGCTATGATGTAAACTGGTACATTATGATGTCACAATGCTGTCGTGAGCCTGTGTGTGTGTGTATTTGTTAGCAGCTCCGCCTTCTCGGTCTGCCAGGCAACGGCATTTGTTGCATTTTTCAAACATGAAGTGGGAGTGGAGTTAGACTCTGGTAGGGGTTGACTTGCTCTTTAAACACAACTTTATCAACATACTTCAACATACAAATGTAATTCAAATTTTAAAAGAGTCATGTGACATAGGACATAGCTTTATTAAAGCAGACTCCTGGGGCAGCAGTAGCTCAGGTGGTAGAGCGGGTTGCCTCATGATCGGAGGGTCACGGGTTCAATTCCAGCTTCCGCCAGGGGTGTTCTGCTGTTGTGTCCTTGGGCAAGACACTTCACCCAACTTGCCTGTGTTAGTGGTGGTCAGAGGGGCCGACGGCGCCAAATGGCAGCCTCGCCTCTGTCAGACCTCCCCAGGGCGGCTGTGGCTACAAGTAGCTTACCATCACTAGCAGTGTGTGAATGTGAGAGTGTGTGAAAGCGTCTTTGGGGGTCTAGAAAAGCGCTATATAAGTTCAATGCATTATTATTATTATTATCTGTTACCATGGCAACACAAGGAACTCCGGTTCACTCTAACCAAGTCTCATAGGAATGAATATAAAAAGCTGAATATTGAGCCAATAACAGACTTCTGTTTCTGATCTTTCGGAACTATCTGTACTTAAATCTAGAAACAAGTTAAGTTTCATGGACCGCCAGAAGGTGAGAAAGTGCCCCGCGCCCTCCCAGCTCCCTGATTGATTGAGAGAGTTCAATCATCTTCTGGCTAAATGGAATTACACACCCACACATGAGAGACATCAAATCGATCGGCTTGGCCTAAGGAATCTGTCCGTTCATGTATAAATCCATACATGCTTCCATCCATCCATCCATCCATGTCGAATGCTGCAAATTACTTTTGTATTACACACTTTTTTGTATTGGGGTGAAACTATTGTGACGGTGTCACACAACATCCCAGATTTGAATCACCTTTGTATGGTACTGCTCAACTTCTTGCATCTGCAGATTATGCCTCCTTTACAAGTGAATACATAAGCATCCATCAAAAGAATGTCTTACTGGGAAAGCACATGAATAGGAACGTTAATGTTAGGTGTATCAAGAGTCTATATGTGTAAAATCAGTTCAAAACTATATAAAAACACTATATATTTCCTTTGCTAAGGGCCATAATAACTCAAAAGACTCCCATTGACAACTGCTGGCTTTGCCCGGGAAGGACTGTTAGTTTGACTCTCTCTCTCTGAGCTGTCTGCCTAGTTCTGCATGGGAAAATCAGGCAGGAGAGCTGCGAGGCAGGTCTGTCCTTAAAGTCCCAAATGCCATGTCTGGGGACTGAGACGAGGATCATTACAGAGTCAGCCCATGTAGTTAAAACTAACAAAATGTTATTTACTACAGACATGGCTGACACTTTTGATCGGCTGCTAACATGGAAGGAAAATAGAAATGTGTCAACCCTAAACGTTAAAAAATATCATCAAAATGTGTTTTCTCAATTGACAAACATCATATATCAAACGTTACCTCTCTAACTCTAACTTTTCCCCTCTGATGCACTCACATTCATTTTTATTGGCAGTTGAGACCCATGGTCCAGAAGTAGATGGTGTGACTTAGGCTCCCTATGGCCACTGACTGAATTCCACTTACAGGTGGAGCATCCCTTTAAGCTGTCGGGCCCTGATCCTCAGCAGAAACAGAGGAATGTCCAAAAAAAATGAGAAAAAAGCAATAAAGAGAACTTAATATCAGATGGAAGATTTACTGAGCTGGAAGAGGATGAAGGATGAAAGGAGGAAATAATTAGGCAAGTCAAATTACCAATAAATAAATGAATAAATAAAATAAAAAGCCTGTGTTTAGGTCACAACATGTTATCAGGTTGAGAGCTGCTGGGAATGGTTCATGCCTGGAATAAAGCTCGTTCAGCATCTTGGTGTTTGTGAGTGATGGAAGGATAGAGGAGGATGTGGAGAAATAGATCAGACCCTCATCTGCAGTAATGGGTGCATTGCTTTGGACTATCATTATAAAGAGGGAGCTTAGTTGACCTTTTGGCCCATCTATTATACAAAGCTGAGCTATGATATTGGTCCCTTTTCAAAGTCTTTGGTATGACCCGACCAGAAATCGAATCCCTGATCTCTCCATCTCAGGGTGGAGACTCTACCACCAGGCCACTGAGCTGGTAAATTATGTAGAGCAGAAGTGGTCGGGGCAGGGCAGGTGAAATGTTCCTAGCCTCCATCATGAAGTGAAATTGTTTGGTTTGAAATTGGTCTGGTTGGTTAGACCAGTGTTTGAAGTGGAACACACACACACACACACACACACACACACACACACACACACACACACACACACACACACACACACACACACACACACACACACACACACAAATATGCTGTCTGGTGTGTATGTATGTATATTATTATTATTATTATTATTATTATTATTATTATTATTATTATTATTATTATTATTATTATTATTATTATTATTATTATTATTATTATTATTATTATTATTATTTTCCATTAGGTTTAGTTCCGGTCACTGATGACGATGTGCAGCGGTAAAAATCGTCCGACGGAAGCTCCCGTCAACAATGGCGAGCGGAATCGGCAGTGAGTAAATTTTCTTAACGTTTTCATGTTCATCATCTGTAAATACCGAATTCACGTCAAAACAAACGAAATAGTAAAGTTGCAGTGATCTGGTCCGTGAAAGCGCAGCGGCTTCGTTACTAAACAAAAACCTTCATTTGATAGACCTGTGTGTTGGTGTGTCTCATGAATGTGTCCCCCTATCAATGATGCTAAGCTAACGTTATCTTTTATTATTTAAAACTTGTTTTATTTCCTTTGTAGGGCTTCGTGTCATTCATAAATGTTTAGTTTTGTGTTGATAAACAGTTTTGAGCTTCAGTAACAATTAGCAGCCGTAAATGACTCCGAACATGATACAAGCTAACACCTAGCTTCGCCTCTGGTTCTTAAACTGTTAGATTTTAAATCTAGGCCGGTTTATGCGTTTTTATAACGCATCGTATCGTTTTAGATGGTTTGTTGTAAGACAAACATTATTTTTTATATTTTAAATAGCACAGGCACATTTCTGCATCCATGTTATGACAATAGAATAGACTGCTAGTCTTGTCTGACGGTATTTTATTGTTTATTTTTAAAATGTTGTGAATTAAATAGAATCTCTAAAAATTTCCTGCATTAATTGATTTATTTTTGTATATTGTACATATTTTTTATTCCTTATTCTTTATTTGTGTTACTCTATGCGCCTGTTGTGTTGAAAATAGAGAATTTTTCTATTCTATTCTTTCCTTAATTGATGATTATCGTGTTGATGTTTTTACCTCAAAATGACCATGTTGGTTGGTAATTAATTGTTATCTTTCATAGGAAGCACAACATGTATAAATAGTTTCTATTATTTCTACCTTTTTATTCAACAGAACACAAGATCCTGAATGTGGGGCCAACAGAGCCTTGGTCCGTCAGGGAGAAACTCTGCCTGGCCTCCTCCGTATTGAGGAGTGGAGACCAAAACTGGTAAAAATAATAATAAATTTACTTCAAAATAAACTGTTTTCGTCTTTCACAGACGGGCTATCTGTGCCGAACTATCCTCACATGAGAAAATATTAACTCAGGTTTGGTTGAATTGGTGCTAAAAGCACAATCATTTTAAAATCACTAAGATGCTACTTACAGTTTATTTGATTTCCACACATTAACTCAAAATTTGTCCCTTTTTTAACATTTTATAACTAATGGTACTTTCATTGATTTCCAGGGTGTCTGTTAGCAGAGCCATCAAGCCTTTCTCCGAGTCCGGACGTCCACCTGACTGGTTCTCCCAGAAGGTGAAGACCTTCTCTGAAATGTTGCTGCTTTTGGTTTCATACGTGTTGTTTTGATGGTTTGTTATTTATTGAGGTGACCTTTTTTCGTTCTGCTTCCCAGCACTGTGCCTCTCAATATTCTGAACTGCTTGAAGCCACGGAAGCACCCAAGTCAGTTGAACAGCTCAAACACATCCAAGTGCACGGCCGTTAGCGCTGCTATAGTTAAAAAAGTGACGTTTGGTGTTTTGTTCCAGGCGTAAGCGTGGTGAAAAGGGCGAGGTGGTAGAGACCATCGAAGATGTCATCGTTCGTAGGCTGACCACTGACAGGATAGAGGAACTGAAAAGGCTCCTTCGAGACACGCAGGAGCAGTACAGGTAAATGCACACCTGTCAGGTAAAAAAAATGAGTTGGGTGGACATAATTAATGCCAACGTCGACCAGTCTCGTAAACAATTTAGATAAGGAAAATTTGAGTTTATTTTTTAACATTTAACAATGCAAACTTGCATTTAGAGAATATTTAGAGTGCATATTTATAATGTCAGCTGCTTATATTAGAGCATTCTGACATATTGTCCTCCAAAAAGAGTTTATTTGAGTTTTCAGTGTAATGTTCTGCTGATAGAGCAGAGACACCAGGGGGACAGGGGCAAGGGAACAGACGTACAACCTCACATTAAACATTAAAAACATGGGTATCATACATTTTATTTTACTCTTTAGATCCATTTGAAGGGTTGATTTTAGAAAACATTTAAAATGACTCCCATTAAAAAAACAAATGCAGTGGAACAAACACCTGGATGTTATTTTTAGCTGTTTTCCTTCAACCAAGCTTTAAGGAAAACATTTCAAAGTGTTTAAATGAGCAGAAGTAAAAGGTTTTGGGTGTTTTAAGAGAACTCATTAAAAAGCTGACCCCTTGTTGTTGATTCTTGTCCCGACAGGAAGCTGAAGAAGGAGGTGGATCTGATTCAGGCGGGTCACATGGACTCCCAGCTGAAGGACCTGTGGGCAGAGATCACGTTGTGAGGCTCAGATGGTTTTACTCTTTGAACCTTGTATACCTCTTCACTAAAACTTCTCATCCTAGTCAAACTGTGAACTTGATCTTAGTTTTTTTTTTTACAGAATCAAAACACCAAACCTGTAAATATTTATAACAACCCAAACATCCAGTCTGTCCTCACGCCGCCCACCAAACAGCAGCAGATTAACATTTCTCACCGTTTAGTTTGTCAAACAAATTCTTTCGGACGCCTTCCCTCCTCTTATTTTTTATTCTTTTATTTCAACTGTAGAAAGAAGAAACAGGAGGAGGAGGAAGCAGAACAGAAGAGGAAATCTACAGAAATGGCGTATCAAGGTGAGTTTATTCTGCTATTAAACTCACGCCACGCCAAACCCACGCTGTACTTTTTCCATGTGTCATGACCACAGGCTGGTTTTGGTTTCCCTTCATCTTTTCACATCAAGCTTAACATTTAGAGATGTTTTCCTTCTGGGCTGCAGACGACGAGCTCGTGCACACGCTGATATGTTGTTCGGGTTAGGGTTCATCTGCACTGATAAGATGTGACTAATCCAGAGAAAAGAAAGGAAGAAATTCAGATTTACAAAGTTCTGCGAGAAACCGTTTTTCACTTGATGTTTTTTTTAAATCTGGTTGGTCAATCCGAGTTTTTCATGCAGGCTGAACGAGAAAATTGTCGTCTACACCTATTTCCTGCTCTAGCCGCCGACAGACGTGGAAACTCTCGAGTTATAAAAGCCAGTGACATTTGCACGTCATAAAGTCACAACAGAGAACGTCTCAACTAGTAGAAGCTAACCGTTAGCATTAGCAACTCCACCACACAGCAGAACTCCAGGCTTGTGTTATTTGTGAAGAGAAAACATCAACATTGCAGAACAGAGTCGGACGTTTCAGCTGGAGACCACTGCAGGTGTGTTGAAAAATGAGGGAACTTGGCCTTTAAAAGCTGATCCGCTCAGATGAATTTTTCTGTTTCAAAGAAACTCGTTTTCTCCTGAAACATGTGAGGAAGTGAGGGGCTTAAGTACTTTATTTCATGAGTGATGAAACAAGAGCTGGACTAAAAGAACGAGATCCTAGCAGCAGCTAGCTGTAGGTGGCTGGGCTCCGCCTTTGGGATGACTTGCCGCTGGGATGGGACCGGGGCGTCTGGGTCACCTCCTGAGCCTGTTACCTCTATGACCCAACCTCGGATCAGCAGAAGAACAAAGATGGAAATATGGGACGCAAATGTTGGTCTGACCAGTTGTCCTTGTTTAAAACCGGGCGGACACGGTGCGACTTTTTCACTTTTTTGAGCCGATTTTCCAGTCGTGCGAGAATCCACGAGATCGGGGCGAGTTTTGCGCCGAGCGGTCGTGTAGTGTACAGGGGTTACGAGAGGCGCTTAGCACCACGTGACCAGCTGCCGATCAGCAGTCGTGAGGTCGCACGGACTTCTGGAGTGTTTAATATTTTGCTCGTCCCTCGTGAGGGTATCGCACTGTTGAAGCGGCGCTGCGAGCAGCTGCGACCCAAAAAGTACCAGAACCGCTCACGGCGCATGCGCAATCATGCATCAACGCCGCTCGCCCGCTATTTCCCTAATAACACACGCTGTTCGTTTTTGTTTCTACACGTTTTTTTACTCACAAAGATTGTCAAGAAGGCGTGTTTGTCGTGTTCATGTCAAATTAAACTGATCACTAAACACAGATTTACTTTCTTTATTTCGTTTTCCTCATCCAACCCCCATAAATCCCTGTGTGTCCTCCTGCAGCACTCCCGAAGGACAACAGGCAAGACAAGACAAGAAAGTCTGACGTGTTGAGTAAAAACTGCTATTTTTAGCATATTTTAGGTCCGACGTGTTGCTACCAGACGTACAGCGTGAGCACATGACTCGTGACATCTGCCCTGCGAGGAAGTCGTACAGTTTGAGCTGAAGCTGAACGCTGCGAGTGAAAAAGTCGCACAGTGTCCGCCCGGCTTAATCCATCCAAACGGGCAGCTGGTTTTGTCGGAACAGCGAAAGCATCGCCACACACTCTGGGTTGTTGTTATTAACGCTGACGTTCATCCTGAGTAATCCTGCTCCTGTGTTGCTGCAGCACGTCAGGTGGTGAAGAACACACCCAAGCGCCTCCCCAGTGTAACGGTCCGCTCTCCTCTGGGGACCAGCCCCCCCACCATGGACTCCCAGGCCGACTCCTCGGTCTCCACCCCCCCCATGGATTCAGAAGCCCCGCCCCCTGAAGAAAGCAGCAGCCTCTCAGTGGTAAGAACACAATCATGCGGGACTAATCGTCTCCAGAGTGACCCGGTCCAGACCCGTGTTACAGCTCCAGGTGTTTAACTGATTATTGTTCAGTCAGCTGTTTCGCTCCTCTGGGTTTTTTTCTGCCAGGCTCAGGGAGTGGGGGCGTTCCTGCCGGTGGCGGAGCCTCCAGCATCAGGACCTAAAGATGGAGGCTTGGCGGCTCTGGCTGACAACTCGCCACAGAAGAGGATCTTAGTCCAGAAAGTCACACCGCCACCTTCACCTCTTTTATCAGAACTTCTGAAGAAAGGAAACCTGATCTCAGCCAGCCCTCGCCTGGTGGGAAGCCGCTAGCCGCTCCGCTAACAACAGAAAGGCAGAAAATGTCAGGTTTTTCATTCTAATGATATTTTATGTGTCAGGTTGGAGAAGGAGATCCAGCGGGGAGCTTAACGAACGGCGTCCAGACGGCCACCGGCGCCGCAGTCTTTCCACCTGGTCATGATGTCATCACAGGTTGGCGCACTCACGCGAAAGCATCCACACGTTCTGATTCTGATGGTCTCCTCACTCACCGCTTTGTCTGCAGAAGGTGAGGCAGAAGCTGCGGTGAAGGTGGAGCTCGGGGATGAGACGGGGTTGGTAGAAGACGACCTCGTAGCCGTGTCCTACATGGGAGATGAGTTGGACCTGGAGACAGTAGGAGATATCATCGCCATCATAGAGGAGAAGGTACATGTCGTCTGAGCCGCTGCAGGCGACTTTAACTCGCGTCCTTCTCAGTTTACTTCCTGTGTGACCGAATGCGTCCGTCCTCTCAGGTGGACGACTCTGTGGAGGCTTTGGATGCAGCTGCTGTGGAAGCCGCGCTCTCTCTTTGTGAAGAGGCTGTTGCAGAAGGCCATGCCCTCCCTGGTCCCTGGGAGACCCAGGAACTGAAGCCCTCAGGTGCCACGCCCACCGTCCAGGACTCCGCCTCTACAATGGAGCCTCAGGAGGCAACCGCCATGTTGGCCCCGACCCCCGACACTATCGAGACACAAACAAACCCCGAAGCTAAAGCAGAAGAGCAGATAAAGGGGGAAGGCGAGGGACCTGAGGTGACGGGAAGTGATGTCAACTCTTCTGTCACTTCTGATGATGGTGCAACAGGAAGTGAGGTTCCTGAGGAGGGCGTTGCTGTGAAGGAGGAGTGGATCCAACCTGAACACAACCCTGCCTGCCTTGGTGGGTGAATCACACACACACACACACACACACACACACACACACACACACACACACACACACACACATTTGTACATTTTCTAATACAATTTTTTTTCTGCAGACTCTGAAGACAGCTGTGTGTCAGGGAAAGAGTCCAAGGTAACACGCACGCACACGCACGCACGCACGCCCGCTCTTTATTTGTGTTTTCCTGACTTCAGGAGGTGAAGGAGGAGGACTTGGGGAGCGATGGAGACCCAGAGGAGATGAAGGAGGACTGTGGGGAGGGCCCGTACCTGTCTGAGGTGGAGCGGGCAGCCAGCGAGAGCGAAGACGGCTACGGTCCACCTTCTCAGCGCTACACAGCAGACTCACTGGCAAGCAGTCCAGCGTCTTCCTCCCAGCTGTAGGTGTCCAGGTGCACAGAGGCCACCGTGACCACGACAGAACATCTGGACTAATGTCTCAGGAGAAGACCTGATGTTTTACCCGGTCCTAGTCTTAGAGCTAATCAGTTTTACCAAATGCAACGCAGAATGCAACTTTATGAGTTAGAGCTGCTCACTAATAATTAGTTTGTTCAACATCGACTTCTGAGTAATTTAACATGATGGCTGACAGAAACATGCAGCAGTAATGCTGCTGGCGTGGGTCTGCACGGAGCCCCAGACTCTAGGCTAGAGAACACCTTCAGAAATACATACTTGGATCATCAACAGGCTTCAAAATATCCAGACTTCACATTTTAAGGAGACGCCCTGGCACAGATTTTTCTATGCATCAGTAGGCGGAGCTACGACGTTTATTGGTGATTCAACGTACACATTTTGAGAGCCGTGTTGTTTTTATCACGCTAGGAAACTGAAAAGACCTAAAAAAAATCTGATGTCGGATCTGTTTAGGAAAAGAAAAATATCTAGTAAAAATCAACTAATTACCTTTAATCTCCTTCAGCTCCACATGTGGAGAGGACCAGGAGGCCGTCCAGGCACAGAAGATCTGGAAGAAAGCCATCATGCTGGTGTGGCGAGCAGCAGCCAATCACAGGTGGAGCTCCTTTTCACGTCATCACAACAAATCCGTCTCTGATAAAATAGTTTTTTTCTGTGGAGCGTTACAGCTAAGGTAGGAGTTCCTGAGACTTTTGTAGGTTCAACCCCCTTTCTTCAGGCTCCTCCCACTAAACCACATCCCCACAATACAGAAGAATGCCCAACGCAGCGGACGCCATCACACACCCCTAAAAACATGACTTTACCTTACCTATCAAGAGGAAATGGAGCCACCATTGCATGGGTTTGTTTGAAATATGGCACCGGTGCTCTTGTTTCGCGTCGTCAGCCTTTCTAAATTCTGTTTTACGTTTTCGACCTGTCGTTGGCAACCTTTCTGCCATAATTTCCTACATTACGCATGTAGCTGTGTAACAGTTTAGTATGCTAGCCCAGGTCCGGCTCAAGCTGAGAATGTGTGACGGGTCTGTGCGGAGGGGGAGAGGCAGTCAGTCGGCAGTTGGATGGATAGATCAGGATCCAGGATCAGGAACTGGACGTTCCCAGTGACTGGATGAGTTTTTCCAGGATCGTTTATATCAGAGGTGATTAAATTGCTCCTTTTATCATAGAACAAGTAATTTATTGGTTGTCATCAGGATGTGAAGAGCATTTTTGGGAAAAAAGGGCCGTTTCTACTATCAGAACTTTGGGTTAATTTGACCAGAACTTCGCTGCAAGCACATGCTGCCTTTTCACCGGGCCGGCTCAAAAGGAGCCTTTTCTGAGTACCTGAGCTGGTGTGGGCACTCGGAATGGCCTGGCAGCGTCGCGGGGCGGGACTTGAATCCTGCTGCTTGGTTAGATATCTCGGTATGAAATGACAAAGGCAGAAGTAGCACAACGCTGTACTTCAACAGAATAACACTTTCAATGGTATTAAGGCCTGTGGGCACTTATGGGCGCTGATCAGTGACAACACTCACTGCCGACGCAGTCGTGATGTGCTGACGTCCTGAAAGAGCTGGATTTGGAGACACAACGGCTGAGAAGACCGGGCCATCCTATCCTACCTCCTACCTCTACTAGCTCACCTTTAACCCTAACCATGAATAAGTAATCAATCACGATGACGATCATCGCTTATCCTGCAGGTATGCCAGCGTGTTTTTGCAGCCTGTGTCAGATGACATCGCTCCTGGTTACCACAGCATTGTACACAGGTCAGACACACACACGCACACACACACACGCACACACACACACACACACACACACACACACAGTTTATAGATATTATCTCCTCTGCCTTCTTGCTTCTAGACCGATGGACCTTTCGGCCATAAAGAAGAACATCGAGTTAGGGGTGATCCGTACCACGGCGGAATTCCAGCGCGACATCATGCTGATGTTTCAGAACGCCATCATGTACAACTCGTCGGACCACGACGTGTACCACATGGCTCTGGAGATGCAGCGGGACGTCCTGGAACACGTCCAGCAGTTCCTGGCCACCCAGCTCATCATGCAGACCTCCGAGAGCGCCATCTCGGCCAAGAGCCTCCGCGGCAGAGAGGGCAGCCGTAAGCCGGGGGAGCCGGCTGAGAAGGTGGGTGGGGGCTGAATTTTATCAGTAAAATGAAGCGACGGTTTTAATTCCCTAAAATAGTTTTTCTTGCTCAGAAGCTTGGATCTTTCTCTTAGACTTTAGATCCACCTCGACGGTTTCATTTCACATTAAAAGAAGAGTTGTTAGATTGAATGTTTTGGGGTTAATTTCGGGGCAGAACCAGCCTGACATGGACTTCTGCGTTAAGCCTGATTTCTACTTCTCAGTGAGCTCTGCAGCAGAGAGACGCACACGGAGTGTTGGGAAGGTTTTCACACGGGAACTTCAGCGTAGGCAAGCGGAGGGTTGCAAAGCAATTCCCCGCCAGGACAACAGGGGGCGCAGCGCTTTTCTGTGGCATCCTGCCACCATAACACTCTCGTGTCCGGTCCATAATAGTGTATTCACTAATGTCTCTGTTTATCAGAGACTTTATTCCTCAGACAATTCTGTCCTTCATTCTCCTCCACCTCTAAATCCACGTTTCCCATCGTTGCGTCCACGGGTAAAACTCCTGCTGCATGTCTTTGTACTCCTTCAGTCACGGGGAATTAAACGTTCATATTTTCTGACTTTTTGCATTCTGTCTGCCGCTAAATCTTTATTTTTTGAAGCGGCAACGACGGTGCTGTTGACAAATGAAAACAGGAAGCAGCGTCCTGACCAATCACAAGCTTGCGTTCTCCGTCTTTCGATGGAATGTTAAAATTTAGAGCACGTCTTCATCTTCCTCTGCAATCCCACCAAGGGCTCTTGCGTCGACGCGTAATGGCGTTGTGTGTGTCCGTCCCGACGGAGAACTACAAATTAGGCTTTAGTGTTTCCAGCAGCAGCTATTTGTTTTCAGATCTGCTCAAAAGTCAGCTGCAGGAAGCATTTCCCACCAAACTCCGTGTCCTGTTTTACACGTTTAAACAACATTTATGTAAACCTTTCAGTTACCGTATTCTCCGGAGTATGAGTCACACCAGCCATAAAATGTATAATGAAGAAGAAAGAAACATATAAGTCACACACACACACACAAAACATGGGGGGGGGGGGTTTATTATTTTTCTTACAAAATCTGAGACCAAGCATTTCACATTGCAAGACAAGTACCGGTAACCATAACAGAATAAACAACCAGCTGTCGCATCAGCGGTATGCACAGC